TGACTAATTACAGATTTTAATTTAGTCAGTTACTGAACAACTGTTGACAATTTGTTTTCATTAGGGACAGAACAGGATAAATATTTAGGCTCCCCAGTCAAAGACTAAGACATAAACTCTGGGCTCTGACCTCCAGTTTCACAATGGAGCCTTCTCCATGAGCATCACCCGTGGAAAGGTGCTGCTCTGCAATGCCCTGGTCCTGCTGCTGGGCAGCAAGAAGTGTGGAAGCCGAGGTTGCTCTGTCATGACAGCCAATGCTGTTTAAAATATAATATTAAACTCATCCACCCTTGCATGGTACTCCAGCAAGAACAAGCTTTAAAGGATACCCAGGCTCACCAGTACCCTTAACTGGGAGGGAAGGCCGAGCCCAGCACTGCCAGGAAAGGGAATATCTGGATTTATTTATTTTTGTTGCAATTTTTTTTTTAAGTGATGTGGAGTTTTGCAGCTGCTCTTGGCAAGCTGCCACTCCTGAAGGAAACTCCTCTCTCCGGTTACCTACCAGGGAAGCCTGTCCCTGCAGAGCAGAGCTGGATGGAGCCCAGACAGAGCGCAGCTCCACATGGAAACAGGAGAGAGCGGTGCCACCACTGAGCCACATGCCCAGGGCTCAGGCAATGCCTGTGGGGGCTCACAGGGACCACACAAAGCAGTTCCCAACCACTATCCGTGTGCTGCACTAAGCCTGCCCCAAAAACACCTCTTCTCCTACACAACATGTTTCTCCTACACAACACTGGCTGCACGCAACAGGAGAAGCTCTCATGGACCCATCACCACCACCACAGAGGTACTCATGGATCATCACACCTGCTGGTCACACCCTCACAGCCATGGGTGCCTTGAACAAGGCCTTACAACCTTCACTGGTCCCGGAACAAGATGAGACCCTGGCATGGCAGAGGAGACAGTCACACCAAACCCTTCATGCCTGAAGAGCATCCCTTCCCACGAGTCCCACAAGGCCGTGTCACCTGCCAGGGCACCACGACATGAGTTGGCCACACAGACCCTAAGGAGCAGGTGGTGCTGTGACAAGGAAATGTTCCCCTGCAGCCCAAGAATACCCAGGTAGTGATGCTGGGATGGGGTGTCTGTCCCACACCTGGGTGGGTGTGTGATTGGCAGATTCAGCACAAAAGAACCATCCCTAGGACACCTCTGTACAGCAAGCACGCCCAGGTCGTCCAGCCTCTCAGGCTTTACCTTGTTTCCACTGAGCACACTAACTCCAGCAAGCCTGAATTCTCCATTCATCCATCCATCCATCCATCCATCCATCCATCCATCCATCCATCCATCCATCCATCCATCCATCCATCCATCCATCCATCCATCCACATGAGATTCAGAACCCCCCAAGACATCTCTAAGGGGAACTGTTTCAGATGGGTGAAAAAGGAGGAGCTCTGGCTGTCCCCGACCAAGATAGGAGGACGAGAGCCCCAAACACACCATCTTTTCCCAGTCCAACCACTGCACCTCCGGCAGCAACCACCCCCACTGCTGCAGAGCATTCTTCCAGACTCAAGTTAGAAAGAACTGCAGCAGCTTTCCAAAGTTAAAAACAAAAACAAATAAATCAATGCTTTGCGTTAATGGCAAGTTGAAGCCACAGCTTGGCAGATCTTGTGCTGCAAAGAAAATAGCTTTTCAAATGCTCCCAAGTGCAGGTCCTTCTCAGGAGGAAACTGGGGGAAACAGAACTAGGGAATGATGAAGTCAAAGTCTTCACCAGCTAAAGGCTACCGTGAATTTTCTCTCCTGCATGTTGACATGAGCTGGCTGTGCAGGCAGAGCAATACCACAAAAAAAGTATGTAGCAACAGTCAACTAGATTTAAGTTCATTTTCTGTAGCTCGAGGCCAAAATCGACTGAAGTGGTTCTGGTGATCAAGTTTTCTGCAATTCCCCTTTCTATGTATTAGCTCTTTGACAGAAATTCACTGCGGTATTTAAACTGGCAGTCATCACCGCTAACTCAAATTGTATTGGCTTTCACGGCGTTGAAATGCTCAACTGCGACCAGCCATCGGCCAATTCCCAGATAACGCGGCGGCTGAAATCCCCTGTCATGAGGAGCGATCCCGTTGCAAGCTCCCCGGCTCCGGGAGCGTGCCGGAACGCTGGCACGCTCGCCACGGGGCTTGGAGGAACCTAAATCAATGGCTACAGGTTGAGTTTTAGGAGTTGGTGAGTGCTCGTGGGGTTGTTAGCTTGGATAAACTCTTTGGATACAGGTGGAAGAGGATGACTAACAACCCTCCAACCAACACAGCTCAATAGTTGTGTTAACAGTCACACAGACCTGCCAGAGATGGAAGGGTAGAGCAGAGCAGCATTCCTCCTGCCTGTGCCAGGTGAATCCCCACTCCCATCACTCTTCTCCCAACAAGCAGCTTTCTACAAAGTCCCAGCAGGCTTTTGTCCCACCTTGGGAGAAAAACCTCAGCGGAAAGGTAAAAAGAAGTATTTCCAAGCACTCATAAGACCCCACAGTTTTCAAGGGTCCCCTCAAAAAAAGAAAGTGGTGGGATTTCTCCTTACTTTCTTAATTTCCTTCCTTTAATTTCTCACTGGACATTTATAAACACTCAAAACCGGAGGGGGAAAATTGGTAATTTGTCCTGCTGCTCCTAACAATTTTCATACAGTTATGCTGGAAAACAAAGTGGAAATGACACACCATGCATATGCCACCCTGCTAACGAGGAGAACTGCTCCCCTTTCCCAAAAGGTTTGTGCCCCAGGCTAGAACCCCTCCAGTGCTGGCTCTGGGAAAGTGACATGCCAGGCTCCCAAAGCATCCCCTCTTTCTGTTCTTACCCTAGCACAGTCTCTGGGTTAACACACACCATATTTTGGGCAAACACCAAGCAGGACACATGGAATTTGCCCATTGCTGGCCAAGTGTAAATACAACGCTCTACCAACCTGGGGCAAGACCTAGACTGGGGTATTTTTAACCACAACCACCACATGAAGCAATTCATGACTCGCTGATCCAGCCCCATTTGGGGCTCATATCCCATTTTAGCTGCCACGCACCACTGATGGGTCGCTGGGCTTGGTGTTTGACACTGCCTACCATACTCACTGGTACCAGCAGCCTGCCCAGAAGCTGCAGAGAAACAAGGCTCTATTCACACTCCCATGGTTATCATTGGGTTCTTTGGTCAATATTTAAGTTTTGGCCAGGCAGGTCCCTCGCCCTGCAAAGTACACGCTGTGCCAGGAAAACACCACTCCTCAGAGAAGGACTGTACCCTGAGCATCCGTCACCAACCACGCCACAGAGAAGCACAAGCCCTGTCTTGGGGCCAAAACATGCCTGGGGGAACCAACCCAGTGCCACCAAGCCAAAGCACAGGGGAGTGAAAAATCTTAGGAGTTACTCAAAAGGTGAAGCACTTGGGGCTGTTAGAAAACTGCATTACACTGAGAATTAAAAACAATCAGGATTGTGTCTATTTACTGTAAGCTTAAAGCAACGTGTATTAAAGAAGTTTATGCGAATCATCTAATGCACTCAGACCTATTGTTAGAATTATTACCAAGCTAAAAAAAGATTAATTTCTCTAAATACACTAAATCCTCAGACACAACGAGGAGGCTGCTGTGGATGGAGCATTACCAGGTCTCGCTTGCTAATGTCATCTTCACCTGTGGCTCTGCTGCCCAAAGATCTACCTTTGCTTTGCTCCTGATGAGCCCATCTGGGCTCCCAAACTCCCCACAATTTGCCCCAAAACATTTAGGAAGCGAGCAGAAGCCAACAACTGCTAGACGTGCAGCTGGTTATCAGCTCTGACCCTTGGTTCAGGGGTTCACCATCTTAATCCGACCCAGTGAAAACAAGCAATGCAGACAGCGGCTGCAGGGACGGACCGACAGACAGACAAACCCCACCTAGCAAATATTCCCAGACACTTCCCCGCAAGACCCAGCGGGTGGGAAGAGACAAGAGGCAGCTCAGCAGCCAGCCCAGCCTCTCTGGCACTGCCCGTGCCCCAGGGCGACCGCTGTGCCCAGTGCCAGCATGTGAGAGCGCCGTGGAGGTCCCCGAGACGCTCGCCCAGCACTGCTCACCAGCAAACCCTCACACATCCCAAGCCAGGCATGTCGAGGCAATGAGAAACTTGGGAAGGGAGGAAAAATGGTTTCCATACCATAGTCTCCCCGGAGCAGACAAAACCAGCTCCTGCTACGAGGTTGAAACACACTTGACTGGGGTCCAAGCCCGCAGCCAGGTGACTAATCCTTTGATGCAAATTCCTCCCAACGCTGCGGATGCGGGTACACGGTACCCGTGTGCGGGACGGGAGTGGGCAGCCCACCCGTCACCCATGGGTGCCATGCACCCTTCCCAAGACGGATTCCTTGGGAGACACCTCAGACTCAAGCGTGCCACCCCTGAAGCACCATCCATCCCTGGGTCATGCTGCCACCTCTGCAACCCAAACCATGGAGAGCCAAGATGCACAACGACCATCCAACCACCAGCTTCAGCAAGACAACACCTCTCCCTTGCTGGGATCAAGGGACAACTCAGGAAACCAAGGAAGCCCCCAGCCTTGCCAAAGGCAGGGAGAGATTAACTAGGGCATTCAACAGTGGTTTGGGGAATTCCCCCTTCTCCTCCCCACCAAAATCCAACCCCCACCCATCGTGCAAGGTGCCCTCAGCATGGAACATCTCACCACCACAGTATCCTCGGCATGAAATATCTTGCCATATAAACGCTTTGTTGTCCATTGCTATGCAAAAGTTCTTAATTCTACCACTAGCCCGAATGCCTTTAAGTGCTTAAGATAAGTATCTGAGCTCATTTACATAATTGCAACATTATGAAATACTGTTCAGTCAAATCAGAACATTGCTGGTTAAAAAAAACCCACACTTTTTTTGCCAGTTGGTTACGTTAGGTTGGCTCCTGGTGCGCCGGAGCTCCCCAACGCCGTAATTACCGCGAGGATTAGAAACTTGTTACTCACGTAGTCATGAAAGGCTTTGGCTTCACTCGAATGTTCACAAGTGTCTCGCCTTTCGGGAGCTGCGCAGTACAGGTCCCAAAACACGCTGCACGGCAGGGAGAGATGGGAGAAGAGCAGTCACTCATCAGGGGTCGGGCACACAGGTCAGCGCCAGTGAGCGGCTTCCCAGCCCCCGGGGCCCACAGCTGGGATGGGACCTCAGCTGGATCCAGCTGTGCATCCCAGCTTTGCGCTACACGATCTGACCGTCAGGACTGGGGATGCTGGGCGCTTAAGGAAGCAAAACTAGCCTTCAAGAGGCAACACCTTGAAGGGATAACTAACCCCCGTGGGACTTCAGGGACTTCTCCCAGCCTCGCAGCCGCCCAGCCCCGCTCCCCTGGGCGCCCCAGCGGCACCGGCACAGCCCGGTGCCTGCGGCTGGCCCGGCAGCTCTCCAGCGGGAGCCCTGCCCGCCGCTCCCGCGGGGCCGGGGGTGGCTCCGCCGCGCCTCGACGCCCGCGGGGAGCGGGAGCCGGGGCGGTTCGGGGCTCGCCGCCGCTGCTGACTCACGCCACTACCGGGGCTGCACCCCGCGGGGCCCCGCGCCACCGGCGCGCACCCCCCCGCCCCCGGGGGCTGCTCCCAGCCGCGACGGGACACCCCCGCACTTACCACCACCAGGAGTGCAGGAAGCCGGGGGGCTCGCCCAGAGTGATGTTCTTCTCCCACCGGATCTGCGGGCGAGAGGAAGACGGAGGGGGGGTGGTGGGTTGGGAGGGGGGGGGGCGGCGCGGGTGGGGGGTGGTCGCGGGTGGGCGTGGGCCCCCACGCGCGGCGACCCCCCGGCGCCGCCGCCGCCCCGCGCAAGATGGAGGGCGGGCGTGCGGCGGCGCACAAAGGGCGCGGGGGGCGGCGGGGCTCACCTCGGACAGGAAGGTCTGCGCAGACTTCTGGGCGCCGACGTGCAGCAGGTACTCGTAGACGTACAGCGCCAGCCTGCAACAGCCGAGCGCCGGGTCGGAGGAGGAACGGGAGCCCCGCTCCCGCCCCGCACAAAGCCGCCCGCCGCCACCGCCGCCCCGCTCCCCCCGCCGCCGCCGCCGCCGCCGCCGCTCTTACTTCTCCCGCGCCTGCCCGTCCGAGGGCACCGCCGAGCCCTTCCCTTTGGCGAACATGGTCCGCGCCGAGGAGGAGGGAGGCGGCCGCCGAGAGCCGCCGCTGCCGCCGGAGCCGCTGCGCCCGCCGCCAAGGGAGCGCCGGGGGCTGTCAGAGCGCCGGCCGCCGCCGCGCCCCCATCGCCCCGCGCCCGCCGCCGCTCGCTGCGCCAACGCGCCGCTGGCCGCGCACCCGAACGTGGCCGCGCCGGGCGCCGCCCCCGCCGCCGACGGGCGCCCGCTGCCGCCAATCACGGCCCGGCGGGGGCGGGGCCTCCCCGCGCCACGCCCCGCTCCGGAGGCGGCGGGCGGCCTCCCGCGGCGGGCAGGGAGGGCGGGCGGCGGCGGCGCGCGGTCCTAGAGCGCGCCCGGTTCGGCCCGCGGGCGGCGCCGCTTCCCCGGTGCGGCGCACCGCGCGGGCCCTTTAAGGCGGCGGGCCGCGGCGCGCAGCGCGCGCTGATTGGCCGGCGCCGCGGAGACCTCGGAAGGGGGGACTTGAAACCGCCGGTCGGGGGGGCGCGGGGAGCGGCGGTGAGGCCGGGCGGGCGCTGCCGCTCCGCGGCGCCGGGCGGGACGGACCCGGCGGGAGGGAGGGAGGCACGGAGAGAGAAGGAAGGAGGGAGGGAGGCGGACGGGGGCTGGGCACGCCGCCTGTGCCTCCGGACCGGCCCCGGCGGGTCCCGCCCGGCGCCGCGCACCCCAGCCCCGCGCTGCCGGCGGTCAGCCCGGGGCCAGGCGCGCCCGGCTGCGCGGAGCCCTGAGCGGAGCCCGGGGCCAGCCAGCTCCAGTCACGGCTCGTGTTGGCCTCGCTGCCCTTAGAAACACGCGGGGAAAACCCCCCGGTGGGGGTCGCTTAGGGTGGGCTGTGGGGAGCCCTTCTGCCTCTCTCCGGGCACCTCTAATTTAAAAGTCAGGCCTTTGCGCCCCTCGCCCCACCAACATCTGTTTCTGCAGAACCAAACTGACCACCGCTGGCGGTGCCCGTGGGGACGGATGTCGGAGCAGCACAAAAATAAAGGGTTTCCAACAGCTCTTCCCCCTGCCCTGGCCTCACCTCTACCCCCGAATGAGTGGCTGAACAAAAAGCAGCCGCTTGGTTGGGGCCGTGTGATGAGTTACCCGCTGCTGGAACCGGGAGGTTGCAGTGGAAACGCGGGGATCTCGGTGGGAGCGGGGCAGGGAGCCCCGGGGCGGCGGCGTGGGGAGCCGCGGGGCGTGGGAGGGACTCCCGCGGCGGCGGCAGCGCCGCGGCGCCCGTGGGAATGTTCACGGCCATCGGGACCTGCCCGAGCAGGGCCAAACTCGTTCACAGGTTAAATTGTGGTTTAAATTCAACTGGGGGGTGGGGGGGAAGAAAAAAATCTTGCAATGCGGTAGGTCGAAAAGGATAAAAACTTGCAGGAGTCCAAGATCGTCTCAGAAAAAAAGGAAAAACGGGGGCTTCGCCCAAGTTTTCGGTTTTATGGTGGGGGCCGAGGTGACAGCAGCGATGACAAGGCAGGCATGTGGGGCTCTGCTCCATGCACGCCTCTGCAGCACAGACCAGAGCGACAGGCCAGACAAACCCCAGACTTTGTGTCTCCCAAGCCTTTGCATCCCTCTGCCCCTCTGCTGCTCTGATGGGTTCAAAAATAACTGGGAGTGTCCCCTGGGACTGAGGCTATGGGATAAATCTGACCCTCCAGCAGCACGTGAGAAGTTCGCTAAATATCCCTGGTTAAAAATAATACCGTGATATCCTGTACCTCCTGCGTGGAGGTGGAAAGCACTAACGCCACTGGAATGATGGGCGCTGTGCCCTCGGCAGCAAAAGGACCTCTCTGTGCCCTGAATATTGCCCTGCCCTGCTTCTGTTCATCAGGAGCTTGTTTTCTTGTAACTCTGATTTTCTGGCATAGGTGAGTAGGCAAAACCCAGCCACTTCCTCTCCCCAACCCCTGGAGTAGTTTGGAACATGAAGCAAGCCCAGGGAAGTGAGATGGGGGACAGGATCCTTTCCTCTCCAGGTGCCTTCAGCAGTCTGGTTCCAGGTGTCCAGCCAGAAGTGGAAGATGTTTGTGAGATGCTCAGAGGAGAGAGCAGGCTGAGAAGGGAGGCAGAAAACCACCTCTGCTTTCCCTCCTCTCTTCTGGACAGCTGTAGTTCCCAGCTTTTTCTAGAGGAAACAGTCAAGAGCAGTTGATGAAAAACTTCCCAAAGTGGCACCAAAAGAAATTATCAATATTGCCATCCCAGGGTGGCAGAGCCCGACCTGCCAGCTGCCAGACTCTGGCACAGCAAGGGCGGAAACTCCCAGCCCGTGTGAATTCACCGGGCACCGGCCCTGCCTTCCCATCTTCCGCGACCTGATGATTAGAGCAAATTATGAGCTGGTGCTTTGGACCAACGTAGCTAAAGATCAGAAGGGAGACTAATTTCATATCATCACCACCGCAGAAGGCAATTAAGTGGCTCTGCAAAGTTTTAACACAAGTTATGACAGGAAATTTAGGAAAAAATAAATCCCCACACCCAAAGCCAGCAGCTTCACCTAGCTGAGTTGCAGGAGGATGTACCAAGGCTACCGAGCGTTCCCAAGGTGTGGAGGGCGACCTGTGGGCTACCTTACTTGGCCAGACTTTCTCTTCATCAGGAGTTTTTCTTGGGTTGCAGCAATTTAAGCACCAGAAGTCATTAAAAACCCCAAACCATCACCCAGCTGGTTGTTTTTAAACACCTGCCTGTGGATTTCTCCCAGCTGTCGGGGTGTCTTCTGTGCCGGTGCTGCGTTGCGTGGCACCCACCTGGTGGGTACCCAACAGATCCTGTTCCACTGAGCCCAAAGGCAGGAGAAGGTGCCTGGGGAAAAGGCAGCATCCCCTGGGCACAGCAAAGGGAAGGCTCAAATTTACTGCACACTGCCAGCGGCTCCGCTGGGACTGCTGTGGGATCCCCGTGGGCTGGCTCCCAGTGGGCAGGGATGTGCAGCAGGAAGGACAGGTTTGGGAGGGAGTAGCTGTGGGAAGAGTGGCCTCTCCACGTTGCATATTAATGCTCCTTGTGCTTTAATTGCGGTGGGACCTCTCGAGCAGAGCCATTAGCATGCAATGCGGAGGAACATGTATTTTTGGGATGCATGCCTGGCTCACAGACTCTCAGCTGTGGGGAGGGGTAGGCTGTGGGATGCAGGGAGAGGTGTCTCGTCCCCCCCCAGGGATGCCGCTGGAGTCGCAGCTCCTTCCTCGAGCCCCTGAATCATCCCCGCTGCCATCTGCTGCACCCTCGCTCTTCCCCACAGATGTCCTTCTTCCTTCCCCAGAAGGAGATGAGAACTGAGGACAAGGTGCCAAACACTACTTCAAACGGCATCTAATAAAACACGGGATTAATTTCTTCTGACTGGTGCTCAATGGCTCTGATTAAGCAGAGCAGGATTTAATTAGCTTGTTTGGACTGCCTCGAAGCCCGTGCCAAAGGTGGGGGAGTCTCAGTAGTTGGGTCTCCCCAGGCCTTGACCAAGAGCTGATGCAGGACCTTCCTGTGTGAAGAGCAGAACCCACTGCCTGATCCTTCAGGATCCTCTGACCACCCTTTACCACCCAGGATGGGTGCCCTTGGCTCTGCTTAATCCCAGTGATGCACATGGGGCAGGCACAGGGGAATGACAGGAGCAAGGTGGGGTTTGCTGGGGGACACAGGTTGGTGGCCCCACCAAGAAGACACTGTTGTCTTCCCCAACAACATCTCTTGGCACAAACCAAACTTGCCCTGCCACCAAGACCTTGAATTTAAAGTAACCCTGTTCTCTCCCTGATTTACTACCAGTTGCTGGCTCCTTTCCTCTCCCTCCGCCTGTCTCCTTTAACCCATTTCATTATCTATGCTAGCTTAGGCTTGTCTATGTGGGAACATCATGGTGAAGTTATTGCAAAATAGATGGGCTGTGAATGTAAAGCATGGCAGCTATTCCCCAGCAGCTCCCTGCGTGGCAGCTCCAATTCCTCACCCGCAGTTCTGCGCTAACCTCGGCTGCAGGCAGGCACTGCAAAGTGCAGGAGCGCCCATGTGGGACACAGCTCCTGGGCTTTCCCCAGGGAAAGCTGGGAAACCATGCTGCATTCCAAACCCAAAATGTCAGACCCTCGTTACCCTGTCTCCCTGACAGTGTCACCTTTGCTCGCTTCTTGCCAGTGCCAGCTGCTCTGGGCGAGTCTGGTTCTCCTTGTTCCCACCTCTTTTGCCACTAGCCTGCATCTCCCTGCAAGGGACATTTTGCAATGAAATACCTCTCCCCAAGCAAACCAGCATGCAGGTCCTGCAAAGTGACAACCCCAGCCTGGCTCCCAGCAGTGCTGCTGACATTCCCATGCGGTGCTGTGTCTGACCCTGCTCCTTCCCTGTGGCTGAGCTCTGCTGGGGCCAAGCAGGGCACTGGCATCAAGTGAGAATGCCTCAAGAGGTTACACAGAAATGCTGCCTGTCAGTCTCCTATGACAATGGCATAGCAGGGACCCTCCCAAGGGGTGCCAGCAGAGCTGTGTATGCCTGCAGACCCTACAGATGATGGGATGGTGCCTGTCTTAGAGTTTTCTCAGTTATCCCACAGGACATCCTCCAAGCTGTGCCCGATGCCAGTCATTCTCCAGTGAAGGGTTGCAGCCTCTCCAGAGTAGCAGCAGTTTGCAGCTGCCTTGGGAGCCAGCAGAAGCCCCACTGCACCACCTAAGTATCTGCAGTTTGACACCAGTGGTTTCCTCACGCCCCTGCCCTCGGCAAGGAGGGGTTTAGGCAGGGAACAGGCGCCCAGCCGGCGTTGTGGGATCTAAATCCAGCTCTGCTGGGTCTGGTTTTGAGCGTCCTCTCTCTGCTGGGGCAGAGCCTTTGGGTCCTATCTCTCCTGTTTCTTCTCCAGGCTGAGTCCCTTATCTGTCACCTCTTCCATCTGTCCCCGCCTGATATGTGCCGCCAGCAGTGCCCTGAGCCAGCCACCCCCTCCAGCGCCCTGCAACGGGGCCAGAGCACCTCTGACAGAGGGTGACCTTGGCTTTTGCAGCAGACCTTCCCCCTGCTGCCACTGGCCCCGTGGGTGCTCCCACAGCAGGGTGGACCAGTGCCAGGTGCGTGCATGGAGCTGTAAATCTGCTGCGAGTGCTGTGACAGTTTGGGTACTTATTTTAGCAGCCTTATTTTAGGTAAAAAGCTGCTGCAGGGTGAACTGTGGTCCAACTGGCTCTGCTGC